TTTTTTAAATCTCGTAAATAAGAATCGCAATGTACAATATTTAAATCGCCTGAATAAGAATCGCAACGTTCAACTTTTAAATCAGGTAAATACGAAAATCGATGTTTGATAATAAAATCGCAATTTTAAAAATGCATAAATACAAAACACGATATTGGATTTTTAAATCTCGTAAATAAGAATCATAATGTACGATATTTAAATAGCGCAAATAAGAATCGCAATGCGCAACGTTTAAATCAGGTAAATACGAAAATCGATGATTGATATTAAAATCGCGTGAATAAGAATCGAGATATTTGCAGAGTCTAGACTTGGGATTTCTAAAAGGCTTGTTTGTATTGTTTTTGTCTAGACATAATAAATGAAAATTTACAAGATTAATTGAATGAGAAATTAATATTTTCACCACAAATACACCTCTTCCCCCCCTCCCCCGTTTGCTTTCACGCCAGAAAATAGGAAGCAACGACGTCTGAATTACGAAAATACGAGCTATCCGGTAAACGGATAAAATTACAGAAATCTTATTTTCTGTGCGTAAAAGTGGAGAAAATAGCTAAAATAAGTAAAAATGAGGAAGGGTTAGCAGTTAGGACGTAGTTTGAATTTTCTGTTTATTTGAAAATCATAATAAATATAATTATTTTATTTCAACGAAAAATTTAAAAAAAAAAAAAAAAAAAAAAAAACGGGATATTTATAAAAAAAGTTTTATCGGAGTTTTTGATAAAAGGGCTGAAATTCGAGAGACAAAAGCGAAAAAAGCGGAAATCCGCTAAAATGCGGAAAAATCTCATCCCTGTATAAAGGTCAACCAGTCTTACCCCAAGGAAATGATTTTTAGAGAAACTTCAGAGGGAGGAATGAGGACTTCAATACTTTCGCTCCGCGGAAAATTAAATTTCTCATAAAATATTTCAACTTTTTCAAAAACAAAAAAAATTCCGCGGAAATTAGCGGGGAAAATGGAAAAATCTGAAAAAGAAGCGAAAATCCGCGAATCCGCGGAAGAATCACATCTCTGTGATCACGAATGATAAAATGTTAATAAGAGTTATATGTACGCGAATTATTAAAACTAATTTTAAACTAATCCCAAAACATGCCTTTAATTAATTTAGTAGATCAATTAGATACTCAATTGTGTTTAGAAAATTTAGGTGTTACTAAAGAAAAATATGTATGTATGCTTTATCTGTTAGTTGCAGCTTCAATTCCTGAGAATGTTTTAATTGCATGGGAAAGAGGAAGAAATTCTGTCACTCGGATTAATAAATGCCAACACACATAATCTTGAATAAATAGTGCAGTTCCTTCGGTAAGGAATGAAGTGATCAGTACAGAGAGAATGGTTCGTACAGCTATTAACAATAGAATGGGCAAAATGAAAGTAGAAATTGTTCGAGTAATGAATTCAACGATCACGACAGCGTCTACTTTAATAACCCAAGCAAAGACCGATAAATGCAAAACAGATGTATTTTGTCTATTCAGCGAAAAGGGCACACATAGAAGTTGTGATTGTTTTACTACTCAAAAATTACTCTACCTATAGGGCCACATATGAACAAATTGAAGGGAAAAAAAAACTAAAAAAATTCTTGAAAAATAAAAAGTATAAATTAAAAAAAAACGTACATTTGTTTTTTTTAAAAAAAAACTTAAGTTTTTGACATACCCAATCTCAAATAATGTAGTTTTTCAATAGCTTTTTGTTATGGTAAACGCTATGGATTTATGCATAGTTTTGAAAAT